GATGGATGGATGGTGTATGATGGATGGATGGATGATGGATGGATAGATGATGGATAGATGATGGATAGATGATGGATGGATGATGGATGGTTGTATAGATGATGGATGGATGATGGATGGATGATGGATGGTTGGATGTATTTATAACCCACACAACCTGTCATGTCCTTCCAGACCAACTACCGGTTTATTTACAGAAACAGCAGAAAACCCGGATCAGAATGTTCCGCCAGCAGCTCCGCCTCGATCCCTCATGTTGATCCTCAACATTTCTCTTTTCTCCACCTGAGGACCTTCTCTGAGCTTCTAACGGGTCCAGGTTCTGCTCCGTTTGACTCAGCAGTGTTTTGTTTACGTTCACTGCAAACCTGCATTCCTGAGTTAGAAAACTGGAGCGGCTCCGTTTGATGAAGTTCAGGACGACCTTCCTTCAGCAGCTTTACTGCTTCGTCACCTGAGCCTCCTCCTCCTCCTCACCTGCAGCAGCTTCATCCCTGCAGGCGAAGACGACACCCTGCTGCATCCAGCAGGAGCAGGAGAGCTTGATGATGACCTCACAGGATCATTGGATGCTGCACGGCTGAAGCAGAATTTAATCCGAACTGGAACCTCGAACGTTTGACGACAGAAAACTTTCTGAAAACTCTGAAACGTCTTTGACATTTAAATCACCGAAGACTTTAAACACAAGCGCCGCTTCTCTTTGAAGGAATCACTGCTGCGTTGGCTCATGACATATTTTGCTAACAGAGAGATACGTGAAGCAAACCTTGCACGACCAGTGAAGAAGACTCTCAGCTACTACCAGCCCAGCCTTCAGCTCGGTGTCTGTCCATCGGACAGAATTGTAGCCACTTTTGTCTTAGCTGTGGCAGCCATCTTGAATAGGGTTGTTCGATGCTTTCTGAGAGTTTTACGGCTCTTGAGACTTTTTGACAAACACAACATCGTCCCTCGACCGTCAGCGGCGGGCGATGATGTAAGACGAAGGCTGAGTCTTCAATCTGACCTTACTGAGTCAATCATAATCTGGATTATTATTTTAAACCTTCTGTGCACATAAGATAATGACTACAAAAAGGGTTTACGATCCTTTCTTTAACTCTCTGAGTCTTATAAACATTGATTGACCAATAGAAACGATCGTAACAGAATTGATCTGCCGGGCGTGACAGATATTGATCGATCGATCAGCTGAGAGACTGAAGCTGCTGCCATCAGCGAGGAGGTTTCTGTGGTGACGGAGCACTTTCTCCTGCAGTGCTGAATTATTCAGGCTGTGTGTGTGTGAGAGTGTGTGTGTGTGTGTGTGTGTGTGTGTGTGTGTGAGTGTGTGTGTGTGTGAGTGTGTGTGATCAGAACATGCTGTACCTTAATGCAGCACCACTTCCTGTCTCTCTTTAACACCAGCTGCTTGTTAAAACACAGTTTTATAAATGTCATCCATGGGGGATCCCCTTTAGGATCTTTTGGGTACAGATTAATTTGGGATCTTCTGGGTCAGAGGTAGATCTTTTTGGGATTCTGTTTGATGATTAGGTGATCATGAGCTACTGTGTTTAAGGAGAATAATCTGGGACCTACTGGAATGTGAATCTGTCGTTTGGACTGTTGGGAGCACCTTGTTGTTTTCTGCAAAACCTGTTGGGTTATGGAGGGATCTATAGGGGGCTCCAAGAGGAACCATCTGGGATCTTTTAGATCATAAGGGATCCCTGGTGCCATGAAGGGAGTTTCTCTCTAAGGTGATTCATTGAGTTTGAGTCTTAAGAAGTGATCCTCGGTCTGTTGAGTTGTAGAAATCCTCTAGAATCATCGTAGGTAGATTATCTAAAATCTGTTGGACTTTAGGAAGGTCTTCTAAGATCTCCTGGGTTGTAGCGAGATCCTGGAACTGAAGCATGGATTACATTTAAAAAGTACTTTATCATCCTGTTGACCCCTCAGAGTGCTCTACATGCATCCATTTTTCAAACCTACCGAATGTTTTCTCTTCTGCTCTTTGTTAACTATTGATCACATGTTCTCCAGAATCCTCAGAGATGTTTGGTTCTTGTCACGCAGTAAGACCTGAGTTCAGTTTTTGGACATGATCAGAACTATATTTGGTTAAAATCTGGTTTGAATTGGAAATAAAGCTGCTGTTTTGCAGGAATTTGAAGATTTTCGATCCCCTAATGTAACTTCTGTGTTTGTGTCTCAGTAACCAGCTTGTTCATTTATGTCTCCTATGTGTTGCCGTAGTCCAGTGAGTTGTGTCCGCCTCCCTTTTCTGCATCCTAGACGGTGGATGACTTTTCCTTAGAACTGCAGATTATATAATCTGCCTGCTGATGGATTAAAGCAGCCAGAGAAGGATTTCTTCACAGCCAGGGTTGGTGTCTGGAGCAGGATTTGACATGTGATCTTAAAGGAATCAACAAAACAATAAACAGATTATAAACACATGAAGGGATCCTCTTCATCATCCAAACTAAATGTCTCAGGGTTCTACTCAGATTCCCCAAGAATCAGGGATTATTTTAATCCTCTTGGATCTACTTGACATTTGATGAATATATAATATATTATGAATGTTTCCATAGTTGAAATCAGGTCTCTCTTGTAAATGAGTCCTTGAGGCTCAATGGGATTAACCTGTCTAAATAAAGGTTGAATGAACAAAAAGAAGGTTAACTGACTCCTGAACAGTCTGAATACAAACAAACCCATACTTGAGCTTTGTCTAAATGTTCTGCTGCAGTTTCTTCCTGTGAACTCAGTCATCACACACTCAACACAAGTTAAATAGAGATAATAAAATGCTCTAAGGTATCAAAAAGCTGAACCAGTTGGTGATAATTTACTGTCTTCTTACCCATTTAAAGTCTAACAAACACAAAAAGTCCAGAGAAATCCAGGTATTTATCTGGATGGTGAGTTTATGCCCATGCAGACATCGTTTTCCAGTTGGAAGATCGGTTTAGTTTACTAGAGGTTCTGGCATTTAGTCGGATGGTTGGATTATTCTTCATTTAGGCATTTTGTTGGTTGGTTAGTGTTTTGGTCCTTTACACCTGTTTTTATTGACTTTTAGATGTACGATGTTACCAGGTGTCAGAATGGCTTCAATCATCGGTGTGCGATAATGCCAGGTGTCAGAATGACTGCAGTCATTGGCATACAAAATTATCGGGTGTCAGAATGGCTGTAGTCATCGGCGTACAATGTTACCAGGTGTTAGAATGGCTTCAATCATCGGCGTACAATGTTACCGGGTGTCAGAATGACAGCAGTCATCAGTGTACAATGTTACCGGGTGTCAGAATGGCTGTAGTCATCTGCGTACAATGTTA